GATGATCTTAAGCTCTTGAGCCCCTAGACGTTCCAAGGCAACCCAGGTCGAGCCGGAAGCCCTGGAACCTCTCTCCAGAACCTCTTTAGAAAGAATCGTAGTTTATGAGTTTTTGCTTCACAAAACCTTCCCAGAACCCCTTTGGAGCCAATCGTTGTGCATAGGTGTTTGAAAAACCTTCCCAGAACCCTTTTAGAACCCAGTTTAGGGTTTAGGGTTGTAGAAGCCGGTAAAGACCCCTTGACCGACAGAACCTGTGTAGAAGCGCCAAAGCCCTAAGCCCTAAACCCTAAACCCTAAACCCTAAACCTCAAGGCAATCCACCGGTGTGGCCGGAAAAGAGTGGCAAGGCCGACCCGCTCGAAAGGAGTTTTGGACACTGTGGGTTTCCAGCTTCTGTGGCAAAACCCTAAACCCTAACCCTAAACCCTAAACTAAACTCTAAACCCAAAACCCTAAACCCTAAACCCTAAACCCTAAACCGTAAACCCTAAGCCCAAAACCCAAACCCTAAAGCCGAAACCCAAAGCCCAAGAGTTCATGGTTTCAGACGCGTGATAAGGGGTTCTCTAGGGTTTTAACAGGTGTTTAGCGGGGTCTTATCCGGGTTTGGGTTTGGGAGGACTCCTTTACAGGTTTCTTCTAGGGTTCCTGTAAGGCTTCTGTAAGCGGTTTGGGGATAGTGGGGTTGAAGTTTCGTGCTTAAGGTTTCGGGTTTCGGATTCAGGTTGTAGGGTTTAGGGCTTCGGGTTCAGGGCCTTAGGTTCATGCATGGTCGTTTTCTGGGCTCAGGGTTTCTGGTTGGTGCTTTCGAGGAACCATTATCCGTGTAAGATCCTAGACGCTTGAACTCCTACAGAGCCCGTACGGAGCCCTTGATACACTGATACAGCGAAGGAAACTGGCGCCTAGCCTAATCTGGGGAAGGGTCTTATGAAACCTTTCGTTACCCTCAAGCCCTAAACCCTAAACTTTTGTTACTCTCAAACCCTAAACCCTAATCCCTAAGCCCTATACATTCAGGGTTTAGGGTTTAGGGTTTCGTATGCAAACCCGACCATGCTTGGTTTGAGGGCTATTGGGCCCTCTGCGTAGCCTAAGGCCTCGAACCTTGAACGGTTCTAGCTTGTATAGTAGCCCTTATGAGGGTTAACCCGATGGTAACCCTTGTTGTAGTCCTGATTAGCAACCCTGAAAAGAACCCTTCTAAACCTCACGAAAAATCTGTATAAATCCTTAACAAACCCAATATACTATTCCTCATTGGGCTTCGGGCTTCTCTAGGCGCTGCACCTGCAGAAGGGAGCCTGAGAGGAACCCCTCAAGGAACCCTTAACACTAAACCCTGAACGCTAAACCCTAAACCCTAAAACCCTATAAACACCGTAAGCCTTAAACCCTATAAACCCTGAACCCTACGTGAGGTGCGGCTTGCCAGCCGTGTTGAGGCGCTCAGCGAGAAGGCCCGGTACGCAGAGACTCCAAAAGCCCTGAGTTAAAGGCCGGTTTAGGGTTTAGGGNNAGGGTTCAGGGTTTAGGGTTTGTTAAAGGCAGTTTTAGCGAATTCAGAAAGTTGGAACATGGGTTTAGAAGGATTCGTGCTAGGATCCCTTGTTCTTTCAGGGCATGAGGATACTAATGTTCCATCTTTCTGGCTTCCACTGTAAGGCTTCCTTAAAGGGTTCCTTTCAAGGCTCGGGGTTCAGGGCTTTGTATAAGGGTTCCTCTAAGGAACCCTCCTTTAAAGGTTCCTTCATGGGTTGCAGGGGGAGTTCTGCTTGGTTTATAGCGTTTTACAAGCGTCTCAATGCTTCCAATAGTTAAGGGTTCAGGTAAGGGTTGCATTGGGGTTTTTGAACAAGATCTTCCGCAAGTTTGGGGTTTCAGGTCCATGGCTTTGGGACCCTAAACCCTAAACCCTAAACCCTAAACCCTAAACCGTTCTTCAAGGGCTATGAATGGCTCCTGTAAGAGTTCACATCTTCCACTAGCTCGATATAAGGGTTCCCTTAAGGGGGGTCGGGTCTTCCGATATCTAGGGGTCGCTTAAGGGTTTAGGGTTTAGGGTTTAGGGTTTAGGGTTTAGGGTTTAGGGTTTATATAATTGTTTAAGGTTCGGGGTTTAGTTCAGGATTTGTGTAGGGGTTCCTATATACAAGGGTGTTAAGAAATCTGTAGAGCAACCCTGTTCTAACTATTGAGGCCCCTTATACTAGCCATTGAGGGCGACGAAGCCCTCAACCCTAAACCCTACCCCTCGCCGGGAGGCCACCCTATTCCCCATATACCCCCAACCTACAAGAAGCCCCAAACCCTAAAGCCTAAACCCAAAAAGCCCTGAACCCCTAAGCCACTATAATAAACCCTGAATCCTAAACCTGCGAATCCTACATAATCCGACTTCTGGGTCTTGAAGGGGGCCTTAACTTAAAGTCAGCGTGATACTAACCCTTACAAGGAACCCTACGGTAGCGCTTATACTGTTGATGATTTAAATTCTGCATTACCGTAAGGGCCCTAAACTATGGGAACTACGGTGTATTCCTTATTGCTATGGGTAGTGCAGGGTTTGGCCCGAAACCCTAAACCCTCAACCCTGAACCCTAAACCCTGAACCCTGAACACCAAAACTCTAAACCCAAAACCCGAAAATCCTAAACCCTAAAACCCCAAAACTCTAAACCCCAAACCCGAAAACCCTAAACCCTAAAACCTTAAAACCCTAAACTAAAACACCCGTTGGAAGGCGGTGAAGCTGGGCGGTGCCGGCTTCATCCTCGTGACTCACGGCGACTGTGTCGCAGGCGCCGGGGTGAAATGGAGGGGGCTTTGTCTGTTTAGGGCTTTAGGGTTTTAGGGTTTAGGGTTTAAGGGTTTAGGGTTTAGGGGTTTAGGGGTTTTGGGTTTTTTGGATTGGGGGTTTCGGGTGATTCTGGTTTGCACTCCTGTAAGACGATTTGCAGTTCGTGTATTTACGGTTTGTCTCCTAAATCTAAAACCCGAAACCTCTTAAGCCCCAAACTCGAAACCCTACACCCTAAACCGTAAATCCGAAACCCCTGAAGCCCCAAACCCGAAACCCTCCGTTCGACACCCCATAAGGCCTTCAAGTCATACGAGGTCTCGCAGTGCTTTTGAGACCTAAGTAGCGCCATAAGCCCCTAAACCCTAACCCGAGAGCTAGGGTCTAGGGCTTGAGCTGTATGGTTTTCTGGTCCTGGTGTCTTCCATGAAGAAGGTTATCGGATTAGGGTTTAGGGTTTAGGGGTTTAGTAAGTTTAGGGTTTAGGGTTTTAGGGATCAGGGTTTAGGGGCTTAGTAAGTTTAGGGTTTTAGGGTTTAGGGTTTAGGGTTTAGGGTTGCAGAGTGCTTTGTTGTGTACCTTAGCCTACCATTACCATGGAACATAACTGTTTCACCAGAGTTCGTTTATGCAAGAGGCCCGTCCCCGGACTGTATGCCTAGAGAGCAAGAAAGCCCACCATAACCTACTTTTTTCGCCTCAGCAAACAGATAGGGTTTAGGGTTTAGGGTTGATGGTTTAGGGTCTAGGGTTTAGGGTTTAGGGTTCAGGGTTCAGGGTTCAGCCGCCCTGCCTTTTGAAAGAATACTTTGCCTACCGTATAGAGTTTAGGGTTTAGGTTTCGGGCTTTTTGATAGAATATCTTGCTTGCCCTAGGTACATGTTGATAGCAGATGGTTTGCTCTGCACAAGTCAGAACTCGAACGAAGGTCAGTCGCTAGATTCCTGCGAACAAACTTTCAGGGGTTACGTGTATAGTGTAACAATGGTATGTTTTCATCGGCTTTTTCCTTTATATCATCATTATAGCCCCTGGTATCGTGTCCTGCACGGCCTTGCAAAGTTCTTACCCTAAACCCTAAACCCTAAACCCTAAACTCAATGGGTCCGTTCAGGTTGCTACATTTCTTTGGTTCTGGGCTCTTCCTAGGAACTCGCTGCAGTCAAGTTCGGTTTCAGTTGGAAAGACGGTAGGAGGTGCAAATGGTTTTATTGTTTAGCATTCTTGGTTGCGAGTTTAGGGTTTATGGGTTCGGGTTTAGGGTTCCGTGTTCTTCTGTCATGACCACATAGACTCATAGCATCATCGCCATGATCACATCACCCCAAGCCCATCCAAACCCCGAGCCCAAGCAGTGGATCCCAAATACCTAAACATCCCCTACCCGAAGCCACGAACGCCCGAAACCGGCCTAAATACGTCCCAAGACAACCCATCTTGATGGTGAGTGTGCTGTAGTTGCCTCTCTTTTCTCGGGGTTGAGTGCTTTACAAAAGCGCGGCCTGATCGAACCCTTGGTAAGGAACCCCTGGGAACTTGACGAAGCCATCTTTTCAACCCTGAAAGGGAACCTCAACCCCCTAATATCAGGGTTTAGGGTTTAGGGTCTAAGCCCCTAAACCGAAAATCCAGAACCCCAAGACCCTAAACCCTAAACCCCAAGACCCTAAACCCTAAACCCTAAACCCTAAACCCAAAATCCAGAACCCCAAGACCATTTTGAGTCTCAAGTCTCTGCCTCTCTCATTCAGGGTGCCTGGCGTTGGGACTCGTCAGCCAGCGCAACGAATGCATGGCGCCCACTGTGACGAAGGCCTGCCGGGAGCTCTGAGGTGGATTTCTTTGGGTTTTCGGGTTTTCGGTTTAGGGTTGTGGGTTTCGGGTTTTCGGTTTTGGGTTTTGAGTTTCAAAGTGACAGGGGTTCAGGGGTTTCAGGGTTTAGGGTTCTTGGAGCTTCAGGGTTTTTTTCTGGTTGTAGGGTTTACGAATCGGCAGGGTTCGGTCTATGTCAAGGGCAATGCCGCTTCGTCGTTGATGATTCCCACCCCCAAATGGGAGTTTCAGAAAATGAGGGGTACCTTATTTTGGGGTCCTTAAAATAGGGATCCTACTATTTAGGGTACTATATTAGGGTCCCTATTTTGGGAAGCCCCCAAAGCGCATTGGCTCCTCAGAGCTGGTTCGGCCTCGATGCAGGATCCGGACCATGGCTCGGGCGAGGCAGTTGGTCGGAGGGCAAAGCCTCTCAGTCACTTGAAACTCGCGGCTTCAGTGCCGAAAATCTCCCATCCGTGGCGAATCAGGGTGAACACAGGCAGTGCTTGACATAGCGTAGGGATTCATATGCCTGATGTACGTAATGACCAAGGGTCTGCCTGCAAAGAGACCGCGATGGACCACCCAGCCTGCTGTCATGACTGTTGGATCGGGGCAGGCGGCACTTCGATCCACGAATGTGGATGACGCCTTGGCTGGACCAGCGACATGCTGAACTGACTTGGATTCAATGGACAAGCTTGAACTAGCCTGCCATCTCGAGAAGACGGAGCTGGAATGCGAAATTACCAAATGGGCACACTTCTGATGTGCCTTTGTAAACAAACCTTAGGGTTCCGAGGCTGTGGCAGAAACCGCTCGCGCTGTTGTGGCCCTGAGTGCGCTCCGCAACCTTGTGAGGTCCTGGTGACAGTCCTTTTTCCTTGCCGTGCTGAGGAAGTACGAGAGAAGCTGCTGGCAAAAGCCGTTGCTGCCGGTCGACTGAGTCTTGTCGACGAAAGACTTTGCGCATGGCATGGCAAAGTTCAGACGCTTAAGAGTAAGCATTGCCCCCACATACACAGTGTGTTTCCGCACAGAACACGATGCTGAATGCGGGGTCACATGCTCGTGCCTGCGCACGACCGAGACACACAGGCACACACACACACAGACACACAAATCAAGCAAGCAAGCACACAAACAAGATGCAAGATGCAAAAACGATGCAAGATGCAAACGCCACTGTCTTTTCCCAAAGCCCGCGTACGTGTGCGCGCCATGAAGCGCTTGAGCGCCTGGCCGAAGCCTTGGCAAGCATGGCTGCTGAGAGTGCTGGCAGATCAAGCCGCCTGCAAAAGCGAGAATCATATGTCCGCCTGAGTTTAGACAGAGATGACAGCAGCCTCAGACAGCTTAGGACCTAAAGGAAGTTGGAAAGTCAGTGCATGTCTGGCTGCCGAATCCGCGAAGAAGTCTGCATCACAACATGCAGCGGATGCTTACCCCCGCAACCTGTAAACAGACTACTTCCCAGCAAACACCGGCAACGGAGGGCATTACGAGGGACCGGCTCAGTAACAGACTTGGAAAGGTAAGACTGCGTAGGGGACCCAACTCGGCAGTTCCCAACATTTGCTCCCACGATGCCAACAATTGCAAATGCAGCATACCGTGTTTGGGGAAGGATCAGTGAACCAAAATCAAGTCTACTGTCTCGGTGATGCGAATCTCCCTGACTGTCAAGGTGTAGAGGCATCGAGCCATCTGGTTGCGATTTGCTTTGCAGGTACGTGGAGAAGCCGTCTCTTCTCTATATCACTATGCAATGAGAGCGTATGAGAGCGTCTTCGTTTGCTTTAGACTCTCAATGCATACTCCTACCCCCTGCTGAGCTTTGCCAAACGATCAAGATTCCTCAGTGCCTTATCCCTTGGTAACAGGGTTGTACGCACACACACACACAAACACATACACATACACATACACAAACACAAACACAAACACAAACACAAACACCCACCCACCCACCCACCCCTCTCTCTCTCTCTCTTTTTCTGTCTCTTTTGCGTTTGCGAAAAGATCTCAGCCTAGGCCATCCAGCGCTGCCGAAGCAGGACACGATGGCAGTAAGGATGCCTCGTCGACAGCATGCACTCATATAGTTTCAGTGGTCTCCATCGTGAGTGGCGGCTTCACACGTTGACGTGAAAGTACACTTGCGTCACTTCGAACTCTTCGAGCGTCTGGAACCCTGCACACACATGTTCCAGATGGTCTTCGTCAGGTAACCCGACCTTGCTTAAGAAACTATGAAGGAGTTCGAGTTGCGGTCTCGGATCGGGGTTCCACGAGGCATCGAGAGATCGAAGCACCAAATGCCTCAGCGTGGCCTCCTGAAACAAGCCTCATTGTACTGTAAGTGATGGGCGTCGCTCGAAGGGAATTCTCATTTTTTCACAGAGAAGACCCACACACTTCATCCTCAGCAGAAGCCCTTCCCGAAGACTGATAGTGCATCCATGCCGCAAGGAGTGCGGCGGACCAGTTTGCCACTCGTTTACGACGGACATTCTGATGAGGCTTGCTGGACCAAAGGCACACGAGGTCAAGGTCGTGCCATGCAGTAGAACTAAGCTTCGGCGTGAAGCCGAAGGTTGCATGCTTAGGTTTTCAGGATGGTGCGTGGCACCGGCAGAAAGTTGATTCAGATTTTGGGTTCGATCTTGGGTCAGGAGACTGAGTATGCGCGGCACCTCTGATCCCCTTCAACCTGAGCTCTGAATCCTGATGCAGGTCAGGGCTGCGGTTGAAGAAGCAGGCCTTCCAGCAGGCTCCAGAGTCGATTCACGGACTTGGGAGTAGGGCCCAGCGCACGGAGCCCAAGTTCTGCCCTTTCCACAGATGCAGCTGCGCAGCTGTCACAGCTGGCCGCAATGCGGCGGGCTGAAAAGGAGCAGCGGGCGGAAGAGCGGCTGGATGGCACCTTCATTTGTAAGTCTTCGGTTTTGATAAAGACTTGTAGGCGCGAGCGGAGATTCGTACATCGCCATCCCTGTTGGACTGCATGCAGGTAGTCCGGGCATGTGAGGAGGCATTTCGGCCAGAGGAGTTTCTGGCATGCTTGCTGGACCAGTCCATGCTGAAGCCTTGGACGTCTCAGAGTCTCTTTTGAGTCTCTTGCAAAACGAGGCTGCAAAAGCTAGCAAAGCAAGCGGAGCAGATCCAGGCGGCTTTGGCGCCGCCCGGCTCGGATGGTTTAAATCCGAAGAGGGCGTCGACGAACAGATTGGTGCGCTGCTGCAGGCATGCCACACATAATGGAGTCGGGTTGTAGCATCCGAGCAAGACAGAACGCCAGTGTCAAGCGCCGGCATACAGAGTTACCGAGTGAAACTCACCGTCCCTCAGTTGCTCAGCGATCCAAGGCAGGGCATCCCAAAAGTTCCCGAGCTGCCAAGCGCCTCGGGAAGCTTGAAAGTTTGTGGGCTGCAAGGGCTCAGACACTGTGTAGGAGTGTAGGACCATCCCGTGCTTCTGGTAGCGATCCTGAAAGCACCAAGATCTAGAGAGTCCTGAGTCCTGTGTCAGCTGTCCTCACGAGGTGCACCGGAGTTGGAGTCGCAGGCGATGGCAGGGCGAGGTTGACAGCTACGGCTAGACTTGTTGAGCAGAACTGTGGAGTTTGGCTGTTTTGCAGGCAGACATCACATAATAGAATCATTATACACCGTAGTATCATTTTGTTCACCTCCGTCCGGGACCCTGGAACACACCTTTTACTTGGCTTCAACCCATGGCTGCAGTTGCTGGATTTTGTGCTTTTGACCACAAGCCCACTCTTGCTGAACTTCGTGGTTGGGCTTCAGACCGTGATGGTTGGAATGCGGGACTTACTCATGTTTGGGATCGGTACTGTCTTACTTTTCCTCTACATAGTCCGTGTGCATGGGAGTCATGGAGGGATGCCCTCACTGTGAAAGTTCCGTGGGTCACTTCTGTTTTCCTCATCCCGGGACATCTGCCGAATGAATACTACTTGGTCTGGTTGGACGAAACTGAGGGATTCCAGTATTTCTATGCTGGGCTTCTTTCTGGTCTCCGGTACTTTATCATGGGTCTTTCTGCAGGGCGATGCATGGTCAATATTCTTTGCGATGTTGTTGTGTTGGATGCTTTACTTGGTGAGATTGGTGAGCTTACTCATGTCATGTATTCTTGGCATAACATTTTTTCTGAGCTTCAGTTCTGTTCCCACAGAGTGGGTGACGAAAGTACGTCGACGCGCTTTCTTGGAAGGCTGGTGTTGAGCACAGCCATCGTTCCGTCCTAAACTTAATCAGTACGGATGCAAACAAAAGTATCATCGGCAGTAAGTTACTTGGATATTCAGCAGCTTCTACAAACCCGGTGCAACACACAGCACTTTATAGTTTAGTACACTAAGGCAACCTATTATATGTTACTGCATTGTGGTCTGCTATGTTGCATTAGGCTGACGCCATTAGATTAAATCGCAGTATCTAATCATGCAGTCAAGTATGTTGTGATACCAGGTTCTGTCCGCAATATTGTATTCCTTAATGATGTAGAGTCGAACATTTCTCTCTATACTAAAGCAGAAAAGCTATTACAGCCTAATGTCCTAGCATACTACAGCACTATACAACATGATCTGGAACAAGCTCGGTGTATCATAATGCGATCTGATAGTACTTCGTGTAAAGTAAGTGACATCTCACCATACACTTTACGACATTTAAAGAAAATAAGATCTGACCTACTGACGTCTAAACTAACCTAACCCAGCGCTGCCCAGCGTAGCAGAGTAGAACTGGTGTGTACTGTGCAATATATCTTGCAACCTTGCGCACGTTATGTTGTATGTCATTGTCTGACCTTACAGTATTGTGTGGTGTATGATGGTGTAAGAATTAATATGTGTCATCAGGTTACATGAGCGTGTTTACTGTCCAATCCACTGGTTTGTGTATGTTTGTGTTATGTTATGCCATGTCAGCCATACGTAGTTTTTTTGATATATTGTGTTATGCCATAAGGTATTTTTGTCGTGCCGTAGATGATCTTTTTAGTGAATTAATGTTCATGATACTGTTCGTGCTATTGTCAGTTGTAATTAGCGAATATGCTCATTAATATCACTAGACAAAATATATACAAAGAGTAATAGATTATGTTATATCATATTAGCACTATATATATATATGCATTATATGTTTCTGTTGAAACTTCAATTGTATTACAGTACAAGTACAGTAATTTCAAAAGTGATATGAATATTAATACTTAAGACTAACATCCACATGAATGTTTGTGCCAGTGGCAGTCTCCGAAGATCCCACATGGCAGGTGATGTAAGTTGCACATGACCTGCCACGTGGGATTTTGGGAGCCCCAATATACTACTGACATTAATATGTATCAATCTTCAATACGACTGCAAAAATGTTTGCGAACAGTTATACGAGCATGCAAATTACAATTAAAATAAGCAAATTAATAAATAGCAAGAAATATATATATATATATATATTTTCCGTTATGTTATGTCATATGTTCTTCAGTAGCTTATATTTGCCATAGTGGGTTATATTGCATTTGATTGCATTATAACACATTGTTGTTTTATTTTTAAGTCTTTTTCTGTTATGTCATCACTTTCTTACCCCTTGCTATCTCGTGTTATTTCAAGTTATATTATGCTACGCTAATTTAACATGATTTTCGGCAATTGTTTTCACAATATAGTAAAGTTTATTGCGATTTGGGGAAATTATACCAACCATATCCTGCAGTCTGGAATTACCTGCGGCGGTTGCCCCACCGAAAATCTCTTCTCATCAGGCGGAGCGCCTGCGAAAAGTCTGGGAGGCACAGCAAAAGGCGGCTCTCCGGATCTCTTGTTGCCGAACGGTTCAGACTGCGCTCGACGGAGGGGGGGGGGGGGTCTTTCAAAGAGTGGAGTTTGATGAGGACCAGTTTCGCGGGAAGCTTCCGCGGGTCAAGAAAACATAGGTTGAGGGTTGAGGGGAGAAGGGGTGGAGATTCTGATCAAGCGCTAGGCAGGGCGGATTCTTCTTCGTTTGCGTATGCACCCTGCGTGCGCAATGCCTAGTGGCATGAACCTCATGGATATAGCACATGTCGCAGATGAGCTCCGAAGTGACCAGAGAGCTTGACCACAGACGTCAGTCGCAGGTTGAAGCAGACCTTCAAGACCTGATCCGTGGCCACCTGGCGCTTCGATCTAGTGGGATGAATCTAAGATGGGCGCAGTTTTGGTTTTTGGAGTTTGCAGCTGCCTGTCTCTTCACTGCCGAAGGCCAAAGCCTGAGCTCGGGATGTTCTTAGCTTTCGAAGTTCGACAAAGTTCGTGTTGGCTACATGAAGACATCGAAGGAAGCTGGGCTCCTGCCTTGAGCTGGGACATGCATAGAGAAGTGCTGCGGCATGGGCTTCAATCAGGTTCCGCCGAGCAGATGGGCAAGGGCAAGGGCAAGGCTTCTCATGACTGGGTCTTTGGAGTGAGAGTGGGTGCCAAACGATTTGGAGCCTGTATGGCTTCAGACACGAGAAAAGTCGCAAGAGTGACCGTTTTGCTTCGTGCCAGGCCTCCGGCAAGTGGCCAGGGAAGGGTGCTGCAACTTTTGCTGGAGAGCAAACGGCCTTCTTGCCGCCGCAACAACTGCAGGTGCCATCCGGAATACTTCGCATAACCATGCATAACTAGGGTTTCGCGGAGATTCTGCTGTTCCGTCGAGTGCAATCAGACAGCCATACTGTGACATCGGTGCCGAAGCATGGAGATGAGCTCTAGATAGACGGCAGTCATGTTCTCGACTTGATCTCCAAGATGCAGTCTCCATGTTTGCTCAACATGACACAATATGCAAAGACTATGGAGAAGATCAGCACGGCGCAGCGCACGAGCCGACAAGAGCAACGCTTGATGAACATACCTACACCACTTGAACGGCCAGTGCAGTTCCCTCGCACGGCAAGGCATCCCCTGGCCGTCCTTTGGCGAGGCCAAGCGTTGCACGCCAAAAAGGGACAAGGCCATGATTCAGCCCGTGGGTTCTGTCGTGGGGATTCAGACGGGTCCTGCAAAGCGGGTGATGGTTTTTGTGCATTCTACGTTTCGGGAGAGGCAGTTTCGGTTCGTGGATGTCGCAGCATGACCTCGCTGAGTAGTCTTCAGTAGATTCAGCGAGTCAGCCCAGAGTGCAGATGAGCAGAAGCCTGTATGAGAGTCGAAGGCCCAGCATGGCCGGCAGGCAGTTGGCCCCTAGCAACTTCAGGAGCAGGGGGTCATCGCTTGGATTCAGATTGTGCGCCCTTCTTGGCGCATCACACGTGTTGCTCGCGACGCTATAGTCTGTTGTTGCAAGGCTCGCCGGCCTTGCCATGTCTCTCCACTCAGAGCTTGGACATCCCAGGAGCCCAGCGGAACTCCAGGCCCTGGCAGCAGCCCAGGGTCGGCCGCCCGCGGGCCAGGAGGGCGCATGATCTCACGAAACACGTCTAAGTAGGGGTACGGTTAAGTATAGTACCTCTGTCTGTGTGTGTGTGTGTGTGACTTTATCATGACGAGGCGGCATGTTTTCACGAATGCATGCGTCAGGTTGAGGAATTGGGGCTTCGAGGTTGTGTGCCCTTAAGCACTGTGCAATTTGGGGTCGTGTGATGTACCAGTGGTCGCCAAATCGCTTCTCATGGCCCCAGTGTGTTGATGGCCAGTGGTGGCTGCTATGTGAAGTCACATTCTCAAGGATGAACAAAGGATGCTTTCATAAGGATTTCTCACGGAAAAACACAGACAGGGTTCAGGCTGTCGGCCCCAGTACCGGCGGGGCTTGCAGTGTCGACATTCAAGCGAAGGCTGCCTGCCACCTCAGAGAATGCTGAATTCACGCATTGCAGGAGCAGGGCCAAAGACACATGCCGATGGCGATGCCGGAGGAGAGGGAGCCTTCTAGCACTTGCAATTTTCGGGGTAACAGATTTCGGTGCCGGCGTGTAGGGTGACTGGCTGTGGTGTGATGAGGTGCAGGGACGGCACCTAAAAGAGAGTGACGACGCTACACTTTCACACGGCAGTTCGCGCCGCTGCGCTTGAATGTGAACGGCTTGGGAAGTGCATGTGCTAGACATTGCTAGACCATGATAGACTATGATTGTTCGTGTGCAGGAGCCTCGGGTAGACGCCTCCAGAGCTGATGCCTGGCACGCGGCTGCTGAGGCATACTGGGAAAGTTTGGCTTGCCAGCATTGATGGCATGGGGCTTGACATGGGGGTGGAATGAGGAGAGAGTGAGAGGCGTCCAAAGTTTTTTTTCCAAGCTAGCGATTCAGCGCCTGGCACCGCAGTGGCTCATTTTCTTCCGCAGGTTCCGGTCCGTTTCGCAAACTGGCCAGAGCCATGGTCAACCCAGGCAGTGTGGGTCACCCCGAGCTATGCGCCCGACCATGCGTCTATTTCGCCAAGAACAACTCGTGCCATGTGGAGTCCTGTGGCTTCTGCCATATGGAAACTTGGCTTTGTTTCTGTGTGGCTGTTAGGGCTTGAAGTTTTGTGGTTGCTCGATTTTGTCTTTCATTTTGGCGAGAAGTTTAGCTGCTGCTTGGATGTCAGAAGCCAGTCAAGGAACAGCATCGGCCCTGTCGCAAACTGGACAAGTCACTAAGGCGCAAACTTCCCTCTGACATGGGGGATCGCTTCTTCGCACTCATTAGTAGTAGAGTCAGTAACCTGCAACCTTTTTGGGCTGTCGTCTATATCCATAATATACAGTCTGAAAACTAAGGTAAGTCACATTTAACCTTTTTGTCGGTACTGTCAACCCCTATATAACCTTTAGCCCCAGTAGACCGGACAAGTACAAGAAGTTCAAGAATCCCTCAATCAAGGAATATGCCTTAAATCATATTGGCGATACATAATTTGGTTTAAAGTAAGTTCCTAAATTAGGGATATTGAAAGAGCGAGTTATCAATAATCCTACTATGATCTACCATTCCTTGTCTTAGGGTTCCTCATTATGGTTTTAGATAGTATAGTATACTCCTAAACCCTGTTCTAACTACCGAGGCGAAACATCACCCTGAACCCTAAACCCTAAACCTTAAATCCCGACCCTCAACCCTAAACCCCAACCCGAAACCCTAAGCCCCTAAGAGCCGATCTGGCAAGAAAGGCTTGAGGCTACTGCTCGAGGTTTTCGCAGACCGCGCGGAGAGTCGGAGGCTCACGGGAAGGGCAGCAGGCGGGGCTTTCAGGAAAGAGGGGACCCAGAACAGAAGCTAAGTCGCAAGATTTTTAATTCGATCCCTAAACCCCAAGACCCTAAACCCTAGGCCCAAAAACCTGAACCCTAGGCCCCAAACCCTAACCCCCAAAAAGAGATATCTCATCTGTGCAGCCCTCAGAAATGCTCGGAGCTATTGAGGGGGAACTCATGGCTCATCCTCCTGCGAACAAGCTCCTTTGGTCTCGCATACGAGGTTTCCCAGTAGGCCGTAAACCCTAAACCCCCTAAACCCTAAACCCTTTTACTGTTCGGGTTCCCTTCTTAAAACCGAACAGTAGGAAAAAGGGCACCCTTATTTCTAAGGGTCTACTGGGGAACCTAGAATAGTACCCCCTTTTTTGTTCTGAATTTTTGTTTGGGGGCTTAAGCAAATAAGCCCTAAACCCCTGAACCGCTAAACCCTAAACCCTAAACCTAAACCCCTAAACCCCTAAACCCTAAACCCTAAAAGGGCTCTAGGGCTTAGGGCTCAATGGGGGACCGAGGCTCTCCGACCGAAATGCGCAGCTCCTGCGGAGATCTTTTTCGGGATTCACATTGTGCCTCGGATTCTAGTTAAAGGAAACTACAGGTGGGGAGTGTTAAGGTTTAGGAGTTTAGGGTTTAGGGTTTAGGGGTTCAGGGTTTAGGGAGGGAGTTTAGGGTATATAGGGCTTCTATAAATCTCCTATAATGGTAACTCCCCACCTGAGAATGTCTTAGATTCTAGAGTGTGTAGTATTTATGTTCTGTACCCCTAAACCCTATGCATGGGCAGCTTACAGTGTCACGCCGACTTATGCACCTATGGATCCTCGCCTGGCTTGTCCGAGTTGTGAGAGTGTAAACCCCTAAACCTTAAACCCTAAACCCTTCATCCTGGATCCTCGCCTGGCATGTCCGAGATGTGAGAGTGTAAACCCTTCACCCTAAACCCTAAACCCTAAAAGCCCTAAAACTCTAAACCCTAAAAACCCTAAAACCCTAAAACTCTAAACCCTAAAGCCCTAAACCCTAAAACCCTAAAGCCCTAAAGCCCTAAACCCTAAACCATGAACCCCCAAACTCCTGACCGTCTAAAACCCTGAACCCAAAGGTCGAACGTTATGAGGCACTTCACATCTCAATTGCCGGCGCATCTCTGGGAGGTCTTTGAAGCAATGCGGGCCGAAGCAACGTCCGGTGAGGCTTGAGAGTTTTTTGGTTTTTCGGTTTAAATAGCGGTGTTTAGGATTTGGATTTTTGTTGGGTTGTTTAGTGGTGTTTAGGGTTTCTTGTTGCGTGTCTTAGGGTTTTGGGTGGTTGTTAGTGCTTCGGATTTTTAGGCCCTAAACCCTAAACCCTAAACCCCGGCCAGGCTGCATCCACCGACATCGCAACGTCCGCCCAAAGCCCCTTGAAGCAGGCGCTCGCACAATTCCCGATCCGTGACACTTGGCACTTGTGAGTTTAGGGTTTAGGGTTTGGAATGGGGGAATGGGGTTATAGGGACTACTACACAGGGACCTTCAGTGACTATCATAGGGATCCATTCCCTCATTCCCTACTAAGCACCAGACAGGAGTGGCCTGGGGTTTAGGGGTTTGGGGTTGAGGGTTTAATGTAGGGGCCTTAATAGTTACCTACACCATTCTGGGGGTTCTTTCTTATATTCATTGTTATAGTAGCATGTACCCCAAAGCCTTAATTATTCTAATTATTAAGGCCCGCATGGTAGGCCCTGAACCCTTAAAGGCCAAGACCCACAGCCCTTGGCCCCAAATCCTGACGTTTAGGGTTCAGGGCATTTTTTAGGGTTTTGGGTTTTAGGGTTTAGGTTAGGGATTAGGGTTTGGGGATTAGGGTTTAGGGCTTAGGGGTTCGAAATGATCCTCTGTCTCGCTCGAGTGGTTTAGGGGTTCTAAATGATCCTCTGTCTCGCTCGAATGCAGAGATGCAGATGATGGATACCTTCTCTGCGCTCGGTATGAATCCCAAAGGGCCCCACATACCCACGTAGTAGACAATAGAAGCCCTAAGCCCCAGACCCTGAACCCGGTATAGTAGGCTGCAGGTTTTCTAGATTAGGAATCATCATTCTGATTCGGGAAAGTACCCCCCGATAACACCGAAGGCCCTTTGAGATTCCAGATTGTTCTTTGGACCGGAGTGAGCCCGATTCTATCGAGACGAACTGGGGTTTGAGAATTCGGGTCTAGGGGCAGATCTTTCTTGGAACCTACACCTCATTGTGGTCGGGTGTCTTGATGTGAAAACACATATGAAAGCCCCTTTAGAAAGGTGTGATGTTGGGTCCGGATGTTGGGTGAATTTATTGGATATTGGGTTCCCTAAACCCTAAACCGCCTGACGCTGAGTTTGCTGGTTTGTGGGGTCACATACAAGCCGGACTACTTCGTGATACTAGTGCTTCAGGTTGCTATAAGTTCAGTCTACTGAGCTTGTCGTGGTACTTGTTTGCCACCAAAACCCAATAGAATCAGTATGACCCACCTAAACCCTAAACCACACAGTTAAATCTATCAGGACTACTCCGGTCCGCAGCCAAATCGCTTGTTTTAAGAACGCAAGTTGCCAGCTTGGCCAGCTCTCCAGGTTTACGGTTTAGGGTTTAGTAACTTTAGTACTACCCTGATACTCAGGATTTGTTGGGGAGGTCTCCTTGCCTGAACTGAATATGCGGGAAAAAGGCACCCTTAGTGAAGTAATTCAGGGGAAGCTGGGGAACCAAGAGGGCCCAAGCTGTTATTTTGCACAACGCAATAATCTTCTTCGCTGTTTTCAGCCAGGGTCGTGAGTTTGCCAGGCACTTTCATTCAAATCCTACCCAAACCATCAACCCTAAACCCTAATCCCTAAAACCCTAAACCCTAAACCACTAAACCCTAGACCCTTAACCCTAGGCCCTAAACCCTAAAGCCTAAACCCTAAACCCTAAACCTAAACCCTAAAGCCTAAACCCTAAGCCCCAAACCTAGGCCCTAAACCCTAAAGCTAAACCCTAAAGCCTAAACCTCGCAACCTGCAGCCCTGGTCTAAAGACAGACGCAGACCGCTGGCATGTTGTTGCTGCTCAAAGGCTGAAGTGTGGCTTGGGGCGTATAGGGTTTAGGGTTTTATAGGGTTTAGGGCTTATAGGGTTTAGGGTTCAGGGTTAAGGGTTTAGGGTTAGAATGCTTGCAAGGCTTATAAAGTTCCCAGGCTTACAGCGAATCCCAGAAAGTAGGAACACGGGTCCAATACCCAACCTTTAAACGCTTTGGGTTCTTATAGTTTAGCAGCAATCTGAAAGTTTAACCTTTTTATTTTAAGTTACCTTAAAAGGGCATCAGGATGATCATGTCCCAACTTTCTGGTTTCTACTATATCAGAAGCCTGACTGGGTGTAAGTCGGGTTTAGGGTTTAGGGTTTATTATGGTCAAGGTTAAGTTAAGGTGTTTAGGACCAAAGTTTAGGAGGTGTCTATGACCCTAGTTCTCCGCCGCATTGCTTTCTCGGGCGCGGGATTTTGGGACTAGGATTCGTGGTTAAACGTCTATACCCATAGGCCCTAAAGTAGTCCCTTTTTGGGGTTCATATATAGAATCCTATAAGGTAATCCCAAAAAGGCACTACTACGGGGCCTATGGGTAATGCGAGTTTACATTAGCGCCTGGGTCTCTAAAATGAGACTGAGGGTGTGTGCGTTTCTGAAAGCTACAAGGATGTCGATTCAGGGTTTAAGGATTAAGGTTTTGCACTAGAGTTTCGAGTCTAGGGCTTTAGCGTGTGAGGATTTAAAGGGAATCAGAACGTTGTAGGAATTCCGGGTCTTAGAGTTTGGTTGGTCAAACCCTGAACCGTAAACCCTGAACCCTAAATCGAAACCCTAAACACTCAACCCTGAACTTTAAACCCTAAACCCCAAACCCTAACGCGACCTTGAGTATTCTGGTCCAGGATTTGGTGGGG